GGCTCGTTCTACTTTTCCGGCGACACGGCCTACTGCGATGCGTTTGGCGCGATCCGCGAGACCTTTGGCGCGTTTAGCGTCTCGGCCATTCCGATTGGCGCGTACGGGCCGCGCCAGATCTTTGGTCTGCAGCACTGCGACGTGGCCCAAGCGATCCAGATCCACAAGGACGTCCAAAGTCATTCGTCGCTCGGGATTCACTGGGGCACGTGGATCCTCACAGGCGAGCACTATCTGGAGCCCAAGCGCGATCTGCAGCGGCTCATGGCCGACGAAGAGGACCCCGATGCGTTCTACACCCTCGACCACGGCGCGTCACGGCTCGTGCGATGGCGTCACGATTGATACACTCGACGCTTTCGCAGTAACATGGACAGAGTGTCTTCTTTGCGTTGCTATAGCTATATGGGCGGTTGCGTCCATGGATAACGATCGCTAAAGATAGCCGGGCGCAACGGACCTCGTTCGCTCGACGCGTGCCAGTTGCGAATCCGCCGGCATGTTTGACGACCAGAGTCTGCCCCCGACGCCCGTGCCCGACGACGTGCCCTGCCGCTACAAGACAGGCAAGTGCCCGTACCCACGCGCGATCAAAGTCAACAAGAAGGACGGGTCGGGCGCGCGGCTCCTCCTGTGCGAGCGCCATCGACGGCTGCAAAACAAGACCAAGAAGCGCAGCGACGTCAAGTACAAGGACGACCGCGCGATTCTCCGCGTCGTCAAGCGGCTCACGCCCGACGTGCCGATGGCGGCGCTCAAGGCGCAACTCCTCACGGCACCCACGACGCCCGACCCGCCCGCGTTTTCATCGTACGAGCTCGACATGCTCGCGTACTACCTCTTATGACACCCACCGCATTCCTAGTGTTTGTACAATAATACATGTGTGTACATAGTCGCTCTTAGTGGGCATAAAACCCCGTCGTCTTCGCGTTGTCTTAGGCAAACGACTCCATGAGCGGAAGGCGCTTGACGATCGCAGGCTTCTCGACCTCTCGGAGTAGCTTGAAGATGCCTGTCCCGACCGCGATGGGAATGCCCATGATGATGCACTCGCTCACACCGACGATCGCATCCGTGCGCGAGTGCACCTATACATCCGACTGAGCAAGCGACTAAGAACGTAGAGTCGTACCGCAGCATCAAAGAGGTGGTCGGTCGTCTTCTCAAACGACGCCAGCATGAGGACGCTCTCCTTCATCTTGGCGATGCCAAAGCGCGTGATACCGAGCACTTCGCCCTTGAACGTCATAATGTCCGAGAGCAGCATGAGATGGCGCCGGTCAATGCCAATGCCGTACGCGCTCATAATGTAGCTCACTTCGGACGCAATGAGATGGCGCGCGGCTTCGATCCCGAGCGTCTTTTCGACTTCGATAATGTGGTTGGAGGTCGTGTGGCGTCCGTCGACACCCGGCATGCCCATGACGTCGCTGAGACCGTAGCCTTCGACGAGCAAGTGGAGCTTCTTCTCCTTGCCTTCTTCGTAGTTGATGACGGCGCGGTTCACGGTCGGAATGCCCTGCACAATCACGTGCGGCAGCGCTGCCTTAAGCGCCTGGAGCGCAAAGTACATGGTGCAACGCGTGTCGCCGGCCGCCGACGCCTTGTACTTGGTCGGCGCCAAGATGCGCAATTTGTCCGGACGCCGTGCGTTCAATAGCACGTGGGGCTCCTTGAGGAGACGGACGATGCTGCGCGGCGGCGCACCGACCGCCGCCAGGATCGCTTGGCGCACGGTGCGCGCGTCGATCGTGAGCTGGAGCGCCGAGATCGCGTCCATATCGAGCTTCACCGAGAGGTACGCTTGGTCGCGCGCAAACACCTCCTTGATGTGCACGGCGATTTCGCCGAGTGTCGTCTTTTCAATGCAGCCCTTGACGATGCGCGCGCTGCGCTCGTCGTCCGAGCAGACAAGCGCGGCGGTGATGATGGGCGTCGAGATGTTCTTGCCGGCGTTGATGATCTCCTTGAGGCGCGGCACACCGAGCGTCACGTTCATGGAAGCGACGCCGGCAAAGTGGAACGTCTTGAGCGTCATCTGCGTACCAGGTTCTGAAATCGACTGCGCGCCGATCGCACCGACCGCCTCGCCCGGCTCCATCATCGCGCGGTGGTACTTGGTGAGCGACACCTCGAGGATCTTCTCGCACTGCGACCGCGTGAGGCGGCACACGTTGTGCACGAGGAGCCGCGCGGCTTCTTGGGCTTCGACGCTGCCCGCGACCTTGGCCTTGAGCTGCCACTTGGTCAAAAACTCCTTGTTGGCAAACGACGTGTGCCACGACGGCGTGCTCACATAGTGGAGCGCGTCCGTATCGAGCGACTCGTCGAGAGTCTTCTTGCCCTTCTTGGTCGTCGTCGTCGCCTTGGCCTTGGTCTTGGCGATCACGACCTTGCTCTCCGGCTCGACCTTGGTCGGTTCGTGCTCGAGCATGAACGCCCGCTCCAGCTGCGCAGCGTACGGCGACAGCGACGGGTCGTCGAGCGACGGGAGGTGCACGGCCGCGCGCACGGCCGTGAGTTTGTCGGCCGCCGCATAGAAGAACTCTTCGATTTCAATGAGAAACTTGCGGCCCGATGGCAGAATCGACTGAAACTGTGGCCGCTGGACCGCCTCCTTCCCGAGCGCGCGGAGCTCCGAGGGCGAGAGCGCCAGGCCCGTGCGGTCCGCGTTGGTGTTGACGACGTGCGTCAAGAGGCGTTGAAAGTCGACCGGGCGGTCGTCGCCCTCCATGAACGCCGGGTTGAGACCGTCGTCACCGTACGTAAACTGGACGACGCTGCCCTCCGAGTTGCGCACAGTGGCGTCGTACTGGCAGCTCAGATCTTCGAGCGCCTTCATGAGACGACGCGCCATGTAGCCTGTTTCGGCCGTCTTGACGGCGGTATCGACGAGACCTTCACGGCCACCCATCGTATGGAAGAAGAACTCGGTCGCCGTCAGCCCCGAGTAGAACGAGTTGGCGACAAAGCCTTTGGCGGCAGCGTGGAGCGCATACGGTAAAAAGTGCGGCAGCGTCCGGTTCACAAACCCCTCGGGCGCGCGCTTGCCACCGACCGACTGCTGCCCGACGCACGCCACCATCTGCGAAATGTTGAGCGGCGAGCCCTTCGAGCCGCACTCGGCCATGATGCGCGGGTTGTTGTGGAATGGCAGCGACTGCATGCACTCGCCACCGGCCGTCTCACGGAGCTTCCCGAGAAGACCGTTGAGCTCGCTCTCGAGCGACTGCAGCGGGTTGCACCCGGGTTTGAGCGTGAGCTTGCCGCGGCGGTAGTCCTCGATCGTCGCGTTCGCCTTGGCGTACCCATTGTCCAAAAGGTCCTTCTTGACCGCGTTGAGCTCGTCGGACGGCGTGACGTCGTCAATGCCGATCGAAAAGCCCTTGAAGTTGCCGAGCCAGCGCGCGCAGAGCTTGGCGAGGCGGTTCATGCAGCGCGCGGCCTCGGCCGACCCGTGGTCGCGAATGAGCACGTAAAAGAGCCCCTTCTTCGAGCCGTCGCCGAGCGTCTTCTTGCAGAGGTTGCCCGAGAGGAGCTCCGAGTTGCGAAAGACGACGTACCCGTCCTTGTGGCACATGCTCAGATTGTGCGTGTAGTTGCGCTCCTTGAGCTCGAGGTTGACCATGACGCGGCTCTTGCGGTTCGGGCGGATAAGGAGACTCATGACCTGCTTGCCCGTCCAGAGGCGGATCGGGAGTACGATCGCCGCTTCCGGGAGCTCGATCTCGTCGAGGCCGTCGCCCATGAGCGTCAGCACTTGGCAAAACTGCTCGCGGTTGAAAAACACATTTTTCTGCGTCAAAAGGTACGCGGCCGTGAGGAAATCTTGGGTTGCTGCCACGAGCGGCTCGCCGTTGCGCGACGTAATCAGGTTGTGCGGCACGGCCATGAGCGTCGCGGCTTCCGCGCGCGCCTCTTCGGTCTGCGGCAAGTGCATGTTCATCTCGTCGCCGTCAAAGTCGGCGTTGTACGGCGAGCAGACGCACTCGTTGAAGCGAAACGTGCGCCACTGGAGCACCTTGGCGCGGTGGCTCATGATACTCATCTTGTGCAAACTCGGCTGGCGGTTGAAGAGCACAATGTCGTCGTCCTCCATGTGGCGCTCGACCACGTCGCCTTCCTTCAAGTCGTCGGCGAGGCTCGCGCGGTCGCCGTACATGAGGTTTTTCGTGTACTTTTGCCCTTCGATGCGGATCGCATTCGCGCCCGGGTGCACGGCCGGGCCGTTGATGACGCACTGCCGGAGCTTGGCAATGTTGTAGCGCGTCACCTTTTCCGGGTATGTCATGACACGTGCCACCTACATGAGCGCATGAGCACCAAGACAACGGTGAAAGAGACGCGGCGTACGTGCTCGGGGACGCCGACTTGGTCGATGCGGAGGTTCGGGTCGGGCGAAATGACCGTTCGCGCCGAAAAGTCGACGCGCTTTCCGGACAAGTTGCCGCGGAAGCGACCTTGCTTGCCCTTGAGGCGCTGGCAGAGACCGCGGATCGGCTTGGGCGCGCCCTGGAGCTTGGTCAAGCCCGGCGTGTCGCCGTTGATAAACTGGGCGACTTGGATCTGGAGAAAGTCCCAGTCTTCCATGACCATCTTGAGCGTCGCGCCCTTGGAGAGCGCGGCTTGGAGCGCAAAGTTGACCTACGTGCTCGTGAGCTGGCGAATGCAAATTGTAAGGAGCAACCTGGATGATTTCCTGGAGCTTGACTGTCAGATCGTCCTCGTTACTGCCGCTGCCCACGTCCATGGCGACACTGGGCCGGATGCAGACGGGCGGCACGAGGAGCGAGTTGAGGATGAGCTTCTCTGGCCGACCAACGTCGGCGTTGACCCAGAGCAAGTCGCAGTCCTATATGTCGTATTGTCGAACGAAGATCCAAGACATAAGGCGTGGTACCTGGTCGGGGATGCGCTTGAAGAGCTCCTGGACGACGAGCGGGCTCAGATCTTCTTGGGCCTTGGCGAGGAGCGCGCTGGTCATTTCGGCGTTCTGCGCCTGCGCCTGCGCAAACTGCGCGACAAACACCGTGCGCATGTCGTGCGCGGCTTTGGCGCGGTACTTTTCGTGCACGAGCTTGAGCGTCGGGCACGCGATCTTGCGCACGGTGCCATTGATGCCGTCGCAATGCGGGCAACGCACAACCTTCTTGCAGAGCGCCGAGATCTTCTTGCGCGTGTTGATCTTTTTGAGCGCGTCGGCGGTCGGGTCGCGCATGCGCCGGAGGTAGCCCTCGCGCACGTCGGGCGCGAGCAAGACGCGGCTGCACTCTTTGCAGATGTTCTGGAGGATCTCGAGCGTCGCCTTGATGTAGCCAATGTGGAACACGGGCAGCTCCAAGTTGACGTAGCCAAAGTGGCCGACGCAGTCCGAGAGCTTCAAGTGGCACGTGTCGCACTCGTCCGTCTTGTTGGAGATACCGAGCCGCTTGTCCAAGACGCCAAACTTGGCTGGCTCGCGCGTCGGCATGGTAAAGAGGTCCCTATCGCATGGGCCATGAGCCTCATTACCCGGCAGCAAGCATCGATGTACTTGGAGTGCACGGGGATCTCGGACATCTGCATCATGTCGGTCGACGAGAGCAGGCCAAAGTTGAGGTGGCTGATCTTCGATGGCCGATCATTCTCGAGGACGAACTGCTTCACGAGCGGGTTCCGGCGGCTCATCGCGCCCGGCGCTGCAGTCCCGTTCATGGATGGCAAAAGGAAACCTGACCAAACACCACTCATCTTGGCGTAGCCCCCTCCCCTGGGGGGACCCCACACAACGCCCGCCGATGATTCGCTCCAACCCAGCCGTTTACGGTAGGGGGGCCTACGAAATAGAGCGAAACTGGGACACGACGAATCACGACAGCCAATGAGCGCGCTCCATTTTCGTGGCACATGGCGGCCGCGACGCGATCTTGCAGCGACATCACAATAAGCGTTGAACGCAAGAGCACTTGGACCGACTACTTATCCGCCGTGTACCGAGGCAAGAAGGGCCTAGTATGCACATATTGTCCAGCAAGTCAGAATAGTCCAGGTACTTGGTATATCGTTGATCGAGTGACAACATTCTGCGCTAGTGTACCACGACATGCAGAGCGACGCCCGTTCACACCGCAGGACTTTTCCGAGCAGTGTGCACTATGCGAGGCGTCAAGCACCACACCTTGAACTCTCTTAACGTTAAATAGGGGGTGGGCTATCGTAGTAGTACGTAATTATGACCACGAGTACATTCCGTTGTCGAGAATATGCTGGAGGTTGTGGTCGACCCAGTCGGCTTCGGCGTCGTGCCGCTGGGGTGGCAGCGGCTTGGATGGCCGACATTCGTAGAGCTGGAGCTCAATGTGGCGCATGAGAGCGGGCGAGACGTAGTGATACGCAATGGTCTCGGTGGAGCAGCACTCGCGCTGCCACTGGACGCCGCCGAGACCGCGATGAAACTCGTTGAACCTACTCGCTGCTTGACGCATTTCAAAACGATGACCAGGCGCACCACATGGACGGTGCGAACGCGTCCGGGTTGGTCCAGTACACCCCCTCTACCCAGATGCGTTCAAATGCTCACAGTAGGGTATCGTCCAGCGTACGGGGGTTGTTGGCATGCCAGCGCTCGCGGCCATGCAGGTCGCGCGTGTTGGTCGGCGTCGCGCCGGCCCACGCCATGCAAAATGCGATCGCTGCGTCGTCTGGCACCATGTCGCTTCTCTCGTCGTTCAAGCAGCGCGAACTCGAGAACGATTCGACTGCACGCTGCCCGTACCATCAGTGATGCGTCGTCATCAACACTCGAAACTGCACCTGCATGTAGAGCTTGTTCATGGCGTAGCCGGGCCCGCCCGAGTTGAAGACCCACCTACCGATCGATCGAGTGCCCATCACCCTGCGCCTACGAGCTTACCAATCGGCCCAGCGGCGTTTGTACTCGTCCAGCAGTGCTTTGTCTTGGACGTAATAGTCGACGAGGTCACTTGGTAAGCGAAAGCGGTGGCCGAGCTGCAGCGGCACGAGGTCTGTCTGCATCGCGATCTCGGGCGACCGCAAGTAGGCGCGGAGGTTCTCGAGGATGACATAAGCGTCGTCATCGGCTTTGTAAAACCAGTCGTACGCATGGCCGTACGTCGCCCAGATATACGCCAAACTCGCCTTGTGCTTTTGCCACAAATGGTCGTGGTCGGCCGGCGCGTCGACAGCTACGGCGCCGATGCTCGCATCGGTGACGTTGCTCAGAAACACGAGCTTATCGCAGCGAGGCCCCCACGTGTCTCGAATCGCGCGGGCCCTCGTCTCGTGGTGTGGCGAAATCGTGTTGACAAAGCAGAGCACGCGCGGGGCGTCGGTGGCGGGTGCGACGTGCACCACGTCGAGCGCCGCATTGGACGCGTCGAGGTCGAGCGCGCAGAGCTCGGGCCGCACACTGCGGTGTCCTCCAGCAGTCGAACGCGTCAGCAGCATTAGCACCGCCGCACCGCGCCCGCCACGTCGCATTGCTTCGAAAATCCCGCGTCAAGATCGTGTCTGTCCAGCGGGCCAATCCGGTCGTCGCAACCAAGCGAGCCCATTGCTCTTTATAAAACGCTCGCTATCGCTCGACCAAAGATTGTCGTTTGCATCATCGACAGAAGATGCAAGGAATAGGGTTATAAGGACGGTTATGTGCTCTGGACTGCAAACTTCATGAGGTGCTCCATAAAGACCTTGAGGCTCACGTCGTCCGTAAAGATGACTTCGCCTTGGCCGTCGCCCTGCGTGTGCGAGTTGGACGGGTTGAGCTTGGCCATGAGGAAGCGCGACTGGCTCTTGTGCTGGTCGCACACAATGTAGCGCGGGACCGGGAAGCGCGAGTCCATAATGAGCTGCGCGTCGGCTTGCGGCGCTTCCAGCAGGTTCTTGAAGTTGATGTGCTCGGCGTGCTCGTGGAACTTTTGGTCGCGCCACGATGCAATCGTCTCGCCGTGGAAGACGACCACGTAGAAGAACGAGTCGAGGAGCAAAATCGTGTCGGCGCGGACGGACGCCGAGTCGAGGAGCGCGGGCGCGGGCGGCCCGTTGAACGAGTACGAGAGCAAGGACGGCTGGATCATGACGAGCGAGTTGGTCGTGCACTCGCGCATGAGGCAGTGCCGGTACGTCGCGCTCTCGTCGGGCGAGTACCCAAACACTTGGAGAAACTGCGACCGGCGCAAGTGAAACATAAACTGCGGGTAGATCGAAAACTCGCGCGAGAGGCGAAAGCTCGACGGGTCGTCCTTGCGGTAGTCGGCAAAGCGAGCGCCGAGGCGGATGAGCGACCGGTCAATCCATCGCATAATGTCGTTCGTCTCGTCGCCGCGCTCGGACCGGTGGACTGCAATGCGCGTCATGAGCACGGCCGCGGCTTCTTGGTCAAACCCGCGCTTAAGCGACTCGATGTCTTCCGGGTCGACCGACCACGGGCCACAAATGGTCGTCACGCGCGTGCGGAAGCGGCCGCTCGCGTGCTGGTAGCGCGTGATAAACTGAAGGTACCGGCCCTTGCCCGGGTGCAACGTCGACGTCGCGGGGTTGGTCACGTCAAAGTAAATCGCGATCGCCATCTGCGGGTCCAAGGCGCCGAGGCTCCACGTGTTGGTGCCACCGACACCGATCTCGGTCTCGCTAATGTTCTTGGCCGGCAGCGCATTGTTGGTCTTCTTGAGCGCTGCGCACGGGCCGATGGCGCCCGAGACCTTGAACTCGCGCGACGTGAGCACTTCGAGCGACGACGCAAACGCCATGGTCAGGTGGTTCTGGTCGCACTCGGCCGCCTCGTCCGAGAAGCGCGAAAACATGCGCCGGAAGCTCTCTTTGAAGACACTCTGGCCAAACGAGTCGGCGAGCACGATGACGCCGCCCGTCTTGGCGACGCAGACGCGCATCTCCATGACGCCACTCTGGTCGAGCGAGCACGCGAAAATATCGACAACGTGCGCGTTCGAGACGCAGCGCTCGGCCAGCGCAGTGTAGTGCTCGATGGCTTTGGCCGAGAGCGGCGCGTTGCCCTTCTGGATGTCCGTGTGCGACCGAATGTCCTCGGACCGCTCGCGGTTAACGATCGCACCGGGACCGGTGGTCGCGGGACCGCCCACAAACATCATGATGCGCGCACCTTGGCCGCGATGCGTCGCTTCGAGGAGGCCAACCGCGACCGACATGGCGACGCCAGTCGCGCGCTGCGGGCGGTGGCCCGCGTTGACTGGCCACGGGTCGCGCTGGAGGTCTTCGAGGATCGACTCGAGCGTAAAGCCGCACTCGAGCACGGGAAGGAGAAAGCGGGACGACGCCGGCGCCTGGACCGTCGCGGGCTGGCCGCCTTGGCCCGGGTGGCGCGTCACCGCGAGCCCGAGAAAGTCCTGGACCTGCTGCGTCGTAAAGTCCTTGTTGCCACGGAAGACGTGCGACTTGGGGCACTCGGTAAAGCCGAGCTCGTGGACGTGCACCATGGTGCCGTAGGTGACGAGACCGACGAGCGCTTCGTCCGGGAGGAGGTTGAGCGTCTGCTGGATCGAGTCCTTGAGCTCGTCGAGCTCCTCTTCGGCGAGGCACGTGTCGATGCAAAAGATAAAGATCGGCGGGCCGGCCACGCGCTGCGGCAGCTCGTACTCGAGCGTCGAGAAGGACGGAATGAGCTCCGCGGGCAAGTTGGCCTCCGAGATGTGCTCGGCGTAGTGCGGCGGAAAGTGGTTGCGCGTAATGCAGAACGGGCACACCCACAGCTTGGACATAAAATCGACCTGGGCGAACGGGTTGAGGATCGCCGCGCAGCCCTTGCACTGGATCGGGTCGTACTCGACGGCGTCCGGCATGCCTTCGATCGGCTTGAGTGGCTGGAAGACGCACCCCATCGGCACCACGCAGCGTGTTTGCTCGAGCGCATTCACGGGCCAGTTGTTCCACGAGAAACGCACGCCGTCCTTCGCCTCGTTGGCTTCAAAGTCCCACACGGGCGGGGCCACGACCGCATGCTGCGAGCTCTGGTCCATCGAGGGCTGGCCGCCATAGGCTTGTCCATACTGGCCTTGCGGCTGGCCATACTGGGCCTGCGGCTGGCCGTACTGCGCTTGAGGCTGGCCATACTGCTGCTGCTGCTGCGCGTACTGCTGATCGTACTGCTGCGGCTGAGCGTACTGCTGCTGCTGAGCATACTGCTGGTCATACTGCTGCTGCTGCGGCTGGCCGTACTGCTGCGGCTGGCCGCCGTACTGGCCCTGCGGGTACCCGGGCTGCTGCATCCGACGCGCTTGGAAATGCAAAATGGAAGCTGCCGACGTTTGCCGTCACAAAGAAGTCAAATTTCGTGGAGACGTCTCATTGGTCCACAAAGCCTTGACGACGTTGTGATTGGCTATAATTCGAACACGAGCAGTTCATTGCCTAATCGGAAATGATCAGTTCATTGCCTAATCGGAAATGATCAGTTCATTGCCGTCGGCCCTCAAGCAATTGATCCACGCGGCCGCTTTGACGCTCTTGCGCACCTTCCCAGCGAGACGGAGCGCCCGATGCATACGCACACCACGCTGCCACGCTCGAGGCGGCTTGCTGGTATATCCAACCTAACAGTAGCAGTCGCGGACGAGTCCATGGGGAGCTTGATGTCAGCCGCTAGCTAGCTTCGACCAGCCCAAGCCCACGTCAAAGGATATTGCGCTTCTTCGTTTCGGCTCGCATTGTGGTGGGTGACCTGGAGCAAATCGGTATGTGGTTACTTTCTTTGAGGAGTTCTGTGAGTGCATTTGCCAGATGTCGTGCCCAAGAGATTGGACCCTGGCGAGCCTCTACGACGCCTCGCACAGCGCCCGGCACGCTCATTGCTCAATCGTCCACATGCAGCCGAACCCCGTATTCGTGTACATCGCGGTGCTCTTTGTAGCGATGACGTCGGCGCTCGAGTGCACGTCGGGAGACTTGGCGACGGTCACGTCCGCCGGCCTCACGTGCATCAACGCCGCGAGCCTCAACATTGCCGCTGTGTCGTCCCAAGACCCCGAAGTGCTGGTCAAGATGTGCCAGCACTCGGAGTGCAAATCGTTCTTTGCCGCCACACAAGCGTTGACGTGCACGGTGCAGAACCAACCGGCGTCGCTTGCGTCCCTTGCCTGCAGCGGTGCCACGTCATGGACGCCGACCATCACACTGGGTGTCGTCGCATGTCTTGTGCTCCTCGTCGTGCAGCTATAATGCAATGCAATCTATTCTTCCATGCGCCCAATGTCCCACCGTGAGCGCTAGAGCCGACCACGGGTACAATCAAGACCGCTGGCCTCGCAAGCACTCGCGCTGACCCTGCTCATGGGTTGTCGCCCGAGGCGACTGGAGATACCAAAGAAGGTACAGGCCGACACTGCAAGCGCGTCGGGTATGCTCTCCACAGTGCGCTGAAGACCCGTGTGTCGCTTTGGCACCCTTGTCAAGGATCCCATCTATAGCAAATCTATAGCTTGTACTAGCTCTTGGGTTCCGTGAGCAACCTCTTCCATCACTCATACTTGTACATACTACGTGCAGTCGAAACCTGAAGGAGGCACGACCAGTGCCGACAGCGACACGTGCGCAGAAGTCGTTGGCATCAACGCCTTGGGTGTTTCGCGGGGTATTTTCGGCGGCAACCCTCCAACAAGCCCAGGAAAAGCCGAGGTCAACCGCCGGCTCGCTACAATTGTAGCATCAACGGCAAGAGGTAGCTCAAGCGCCAAGACTCTCATGTGTTTTCAGACGAAACGCCGAACGACGATGCAAAGGTCGAGTGCGACGAATCTTGCGTCTCTTTGCACCAAGATCTGCTGACGGGGCGATCTATTCTGAGCGCGAAGGCGCGACAAAAGTAGCTGCGCTGAAATTCTTGTGGCACGGTCGCGAAGCCCACAGCTGACGACGCGGTGCTGGCACGGGCAAAACACTTTTGTCCCTTTTTGTAAATAGTGTCATTATGGCTCGTCGAATGCCTGCAGGAGGCTGTGGCAATGTCAGAGAGGTTGGTTGGTTGAGGGGTCGTGCCACTCTGGTGATGTCGACTGTGAAGCGACCCTTCTCGAGTCCTCGCAACCGCGCGGCGAGGGAGGTGCGCCGCGTTGACGGCTTGCCACGAGGTTTGACAGGTTGTAGAAGCACTAAGATCCGATCTTATTGCACAAGAGGCAAATCAAGATGCGTGTCGTTGGGGGGAGGCAGTGTTCTGGGGCTGCGTGACTCACACTATTCCTGTGGCGTCCCGATAAACTTCTGTGGTTTCTGGATTTTTCGAGGTTTGTCCCAGAACCTCTGAGACGTGATGGTGGCAGAAGGGGTTGGTCATTCGCCCTTTGGCCGCCACCTGCCGCGGACGTCGCCGCCGCTTCCTGCGCTCTTCCTCGACCCCGCCAAGATACGTCCACCACGAAAGCGCCCTCTTCGTCGAAAGTCGAGGCGATGCATACCCCGCAGCTTCACGTCTTCGACCTCTGCGTCCAGCTGCTCCGGGGCAAAGCGCTCGAGCTGAGCGGCAAGGCGCCGGACGCCGCCGGTGAGCGCTGGCACCTCGTCAAGCAGTGGATGCACTTGCAGTATGCGCTCGACGCTTGGCGCTTCCGCGAACAACCACCGGCGTTGCCTGAGCGGGTCGCATTCCGCGCGCCGTCAGTCCGCGAAGAGTATGAGCAGCTCCAAGTGCTGGGCACTGGTGCGTTTGGGTCGGTCGTGCTCAGTCGCGCCGTCTCAACTGACGTCCTCTACGCGATCAAGAGCATCGACAAGAGAAAGATCTGCGGCGACGAGGCGGTGCGGCTCCTCGTCGAGCGCCAAATTCTCTCGACCGCGTCGCACCCGTTTGTCATCCGTATGGACGGCGCGTTCGAGACGCCAACGCACTACCACTTTGTGCTTGAGTACTGCCCTGGCGGCGACATGTACTCGCTTCTCGAGGCGACGCCGCAGATGCCGGAGGCACGCGTCATCTTTTACACGTCCTCGATCGTGAGCGCGCTCGTGTACCTGCACCACGCCCACGTGGCGTACCGCGATCTGAAGCCGGAAAACATCCTCCTCGACGCGAAAGGCTACGTTCGGCTCGCCGACTTTGGCCTCGCCAAGCAGGCATTGTCGCCCACGGACACGACGTACTCATTTTGCGGCAGCGTCGACTACATGGCACCCGAGGTGATCTTGGGCGTCGGGTACGGCCTCCCCGCCGACGTCTGGAGCCTCGGCTGCGTCGTCTTCGAGATGCTCACGGGTCTTCCGCCCTTTTACACGACGCGCGGCCGGCGCGTGCTCTTTGATAAGATCGTGAAAGGCCAAGTGCTCTACCCGACCTACTTGTCGCCTGACGCGGTCCGGTTCCTCCAGCGCTGTCTCGACTTGGACCCAAAGGAGCGCTGGACGGCCGAGCAGCTCCTCGAGCACCCGTTCTTGGCCAGCGTCGACTGGTACCAGCTCGGGATCCAGCAAGTGCCCGTCCCGTTCGTGCCACACCTTGCCGACAAGACGGATACGCACTACTTTGCCAATCAGTTCACGTCGCAAGCTGTCGCGGGCAACTTGGTCGACACGTGCGACGACTTTAGCGACTTCGACTGGCACCGGACGCCGCTCGAGGACGTATTGCCCGTCGTTAGTTAGTCGGTCCCATCCCCAACTTCGTAAAAGGCATGGGTCTTTATTATTGACCCATGGTAAAAGGACAGATTCATCTTGCGTTTTGTATTCTGGCGTCGGTGGTGGTGTCATTTTGGCCAATGGCCTCTCGGAAGTGCGTGGGATTGGTCGGGTGCCGAATATGTGACCTCTTTTTGGCCAATGAAACGTGTAGATTCAAAATAGCAATCTTGCACCATGAAACGGAAAGCACCGTTTTTGGCCCAAGCAGCGGGGTCGAGCATGGACACGCTGGTCGACCTCGTCGAGAGGATATGGGCAGCGGTCCTCGCCGTCTGCTGCTACCTCCCGCCGGAAGAGGTCCCGATGCTCGACGCGACGCCCCAGCCCCTCGCCCGTGCGCTGGCGCCTCCCACGCGCGCCTCATGGCTCGTCGTCCTTTAGGGCGACTGGACTGTCCGCGCCTCGTCATGATGGTCGACGACCACCCGCTTCGCGTCAACACGGGCGATGGCGTCACGGGCGTGGACCACGTCCGGCACGTGCTCGAGAGCCTACACGCAGGCGTCGGTGCCGACGAAGTCGCCGTGACCCGCGACGGCGGCCAGTGGCTTGCGACCGTGCGAGCGACGCTCGATGCGTGTACGTCGACAGGTTTCTCGCATTGCATGCTCAAAGAGACGCGCGCACCTAGTCGTGTCCCAGGGTGACGATGGCTCCGGTCACCGCGCCGTCTGCGAGCGCGTGTACACGTCGCTTCGACGCCGCCTCAAGGCCCGCGACATTGCGCTCCGCGGTCTCTGGCGCGTTTGGCTCGAGAAGGAGTTCCGATGCCTCTTTGCGGGCCTTCGCCTCAAGCACGCAAGCGCCAAAAAGTGCTTGGTGCTCGACCTCGACCGGACTCTGTGGTTCCGCTCGTTCGAGGTATAGCTGCATCGATGTTGCATCGCGATGGCTCATGCGACCTGGCAGCCGATCCCGAACGCCGACTTTGTCGCTGTTTTGCGCATGACGTATTCCAAGCTGCAAACCACCATCTACGTCTCGCTCCGGCCGGGCGTCCACTACTTGCTCCAGACGCTCGCTATTTACTACGACCTCGTCGTCTTTACCGCGAGCGACAAGAAGGTACATGGTCGTGCAGGATGAGTACAGCCCACGGTTTTGGCTGCTAGTTTACGGACCTTCTCATTGATGAAATGGACACAAAAGCTAACATTCAATACCGCCTGTACCGAGACGCGTGCTCGCTGCACGAAGAGGTGGGTACTTTGATTTCATATCTGCAAGCTCCGACTCGTCGTATGTACTAGCGCGGTCACTTGATCAAAGACCTCACGCAGCTTGGCCGGGACCTCAAGGACGTTGTTCTCATCGACGACACGGCCGAAGTCGCCGCCAAGCACCCGGCCAACGCCCTCATTTGCTCCGAGTAGACAGCTCACCAACGTAATGCGCCCGAATAATGCATCGACGACGTAGGTATCGCGGGAGCAAAACCGACATTGAGCTCTACAAGATCACGATGGCGCTCGAGCGACTCGCATACGTCGAGGTACGTCCATGGCGCGCCGTCCTGGGTAATACGAGCAGCTGTGTAGGATGTTCGCAATCACTTGAAGCATTTACCGTCCATTCTGCGGACCATGGATGTGGCCAACCCCGTGGCCTAAAGCGCGTCACGACAATGATTGCTGCATGTAGCAGAGGCATGTTTATGTATCTCGTACTGCGTTTGATCAAGACATATTACATTTGAAAACCTTTATTTTGATATTCCAATGCATCTTGCGCCGTATTCTACTGCTGGTGGCGAAGCAGCCGCAACTCGTCTTGGTTGAGCTGCATCTCCCGCAACGAGCGCAAGAGCGGGACGCGCTCGCCTGATGGCGACGTCCGTGCCTTGGCCACGTCATTCCACATGACACCGATCGCAACGAGCGCGCAAAGAACGTTGCCGATCGCCATGATGAAGAAGGGGGCTGTCGACGTCCAGTGGTCAAAGAGGTACCCGCCCAGCTTGGACGTGATGAGAATTCCGACCGTGCCGCAGAACGAGTAGGCGCCGCTGACGCTGCCACGTAGTTGCGCGGGGATCGCCTTGGACGTCACGAGCGAGAGCGACGAGACGATGATGCCCATTTCGCCGACGCCAACGACGATCGCGACGGCAAACATGATGGGCGAGGTCGGGTCTTTGGAGGCGTACATCCAAAAGTACCCGACAAAGCCGATGATCGTCGAGAGGAGCACGATGAACGGACGGTAGACGCGGTCGCCAAGGTAGCCAAAGAGGGGCGCAGCGATGAGCGCGGCGGTTTGCACGACGCCGCCAACGATCGACGCGGTGATATACGCCTTGCGGCAGTCGTCCTTGATGTCGGGCGCGTTGACATCGGTCGCGTCACACAACTTGTGTTCAATGTAATACTTGTAGACCCAGAGCGGCAGAAATATCGTAATGATGATCGTGTCGCCGCGCGCGAGGAAGCTGCCCATGTAGCCCAAGAGGACCTTGCCGTCGGACGCCGCCGCGACGCCCGCCTTGAAGCCTTCCAGAAACGTCGGCGGCAAGGCGTCGCTTTTGGCATGCTGCTCAAGCCCGATCGTCTCGTGGTCGTTCGGAAGCAACGCCGTGTCCTTGGTAGAGGCTTTAGGCCGGAGCGCGTAGAGGAGGAAGAAGCCAAACACAATCGAGACGCCACCGACAATCGCATACGACATGCGGAGGCCGTCGACGACGGACGCAAACTTGGCGGGCAGCGGAAGAAACACAAAGACCGCGAGGAGCGCGCCAACGCCCGACATGAGCCCGACGAGGCCACTGATCTTGCTCCGGTCCTAGGAAAGCGATCTCGTTGGCATACCATGTGTATACGACGACGAATAGTACGCTTTCGGCCGCGTAGTCGGCGAGAACAGCCGTGAGCATCGACGACGTGGCAGCCGCACCGAACGCGTATAGCGCGCGGTACACAATCAGATCTGAGTTGTAGCTGGTCGCATACGGGTAGGCGAGAAGACCGGCGCCGATAAGGACAAAGCCGAGGCCGTAAATGCCGTGGCGGCCAATGCGGTCGCTGTAGACGCCCCAGACGTACACCATGACGAGCGAGATGCACTCATCAAAGAGCGTGAGGTTGCCCGAGATGTCGCCAATCTTGGTCACGGGCACTTGCAAAATGTCGCCCAGCACAAAGCCCTGGTGGCCACGTTATCATGCGGATGCAACGTGTGGAGTCTGTACCTGCGTGGAGCTGAGGAAGACGTACATGCAGATCGCGAGGCCTGACGCGAGGACGAACGCGACAAAGTTGAGGCCCGTGACATTCTCCTTGAGCGCAATGAGCTTGAGGAACTTCCACGTCCGCGTCTCGGCCGTTGCGTACAACATGGGCAAATCGCAAGTGGGCGGCGAGCTGCAACCTGGCTGCCATCGCATCTGATTGGCGTGTGACACGTTCCGCGGCCTTTGATTGGCTACCCACTTTGCCCACCAAGATCCGGATCGATGGCGTCCGCTGGACAGATACTTTTTAGCGATCGCGTTGTTCCTGGTCGGTTCCTCTCAGCTTGAGCTGCTTCTGAGCCTAATAGCTAATTCCTTTTGGGCCTTTTCGATACCGAAGAGTACCGGTAGTTCCCGATTACTCCAATATACGACTATAGAACAAGAATCAACGCACCACTTGAAGGGCACGGCAAAAGCCGAGGGAGCAATGTACTCCAATGTAAAAGGTTCAAACAACAATATCACATCAATTATAGACTAGCGTCTAATGGAGGCGGAGCTCGGGCTCATCAAACTGCACTTGGCGCAGCGTGCGCGTCGTGCCATCGTCGGCGCTGACTTCCTTGGTCTTCTTGATGTCCTTGATCGAGACGTAGATGGCAATGACAGCCGCGAGTACGTTCACAATAGCCATGATGAAGAAGGGCGCCGTCGACGTCCAGACGTCAAAGAGGTAGCCGCCGAGCTTGGACGTGATGAGGATACCGATGGTGCCGCAGAGCGAGTAGGCGCCGCTGACACTGCCACGGAGCTCGGTCGGGATCGAGCGCGACGTGACGAGCGAGAGCGACGAGACGATCATGCCCATTTCGCCGACACCGACGACCGCGGCAATGTAGAGCATGTTGCTGGCAGTCGGGTCAGGCGACACAAACATCCAAAAGTACCCGACAAAGCCAATGAGCGCCGAGAGGAGCACGATGAACGGACGGTAGACCTTGTCGAGGAGGAAGCCAAAGACGGGCGCGCTCGCGAGCGCCGCGACCTGCACGACGCCGCTGACCATCGCACCCGTGATGAAGGCGCTGCGGCACTCGCGGCGAAAGGTGGGCGAGTTGGCGTCCTTGGCCGCGCACAGGTTGTTTTCAATGTAGTACTTGTAGATCCAGAGCGGGAGGTACGCCGTGATGATGATCGTGTCGCCGCGCGCGAGGAAGCTGCCAATGTAGGCGAGGAGCACCTTCGGGTCCTTCGCAGCCGCAAAGCCGGCCTTGGCACACGTGCGGAAGCTGGGCTTCTCGACGACAAGGTCGCCGTTGGCGGTCTTCTTGGCGTCTTCAATGTTGGCCGGCGACAAAAGCGCCTCGCTGTTGGCCAGCACGACCTTCTTAGGCCAGAGCATACCGATAACGAGGACGCCAAACCCGATCGAGATGCCGCCGACGAGACCGAACGCGTACTTGATGCCTTCGACCGAGCCGCGGAACTTGGCGGGGATCGGCATAAAGACAAAGACAGCAAAGATCGCACCAAGACCCGACATGAGACCGACGAGACCGCTGAGCTTACCACGACCGCCCTCCGCCGAGTAGTCGGCGAGCACGGCCGTGAGCATGCACGAGGTGGCGGCCGTCCCGAGCGCAAACACAAAGCGGTAGAAGACGAGGTCCGTGCTGACGCCAGTCGCGTACGGGTACAAAATGAGCGCGAGACCCATAAAGCCAAAGCCCGCGCCGTAAATGAAGTTGCGGCCGACGCGGTCGCTCAAGACGCCCCAGACATACACCATGACGAGCGAGATGCACTGGTCAAAGAACGTGAGGTTGCCCGTGATGTTGCCGAGGTCCTTGGACGAGACGTTGAGGATGCTGCCGAGCACGAAGCCTTGGGACGCGTTGAGGAAGACATACATGCAAATGGCAAAGCCGGACGCGAGCACAAAGCCGATGAAGTTGATGTACGTCACGTTCTCCTTGACCGAAATGAGCTTGAGGAACTTCCACGAGTTGGTTTCTGCATTCGAGTACAGCATCGTGCCGAGGACGTTGTGTGCCGGAAAAGGCGAATTGAAGAATGAGTGAAGTGTCGGGCTTGTTTTAGGAGCTCTAGACTACAACCAGTTAATTTGTTGAAGGTCGGATGGGCCGCGTGCGGCGTGTGGCTGCGCTTTATGCAGCTAGCATATCTCCTGAGATAAAGCGCGGAAGATCGCTAGAGCAGCAACGGTCAACTTCAGGATCTGTGTGGGTCAATGGGCATGACAAGTCGTCCACGTGTAGACCGGAGGACTCGGGCCAATGAGCGGGTAGAACGTTTCGTATTGGGCAGCGTTCGACCAATGACAATGCGCCGTAAACGCTTTGATGATCGATCACGTCAGGAAGCTGAAAAGATCACATGGAGGTCATGGGTTCAGTCCTGCGTGCGACCTTGGAATGCTTGCTAGGTTAGAGACACTAGCGTTTGTGCGGCGATGACTGCACATGTTCTGCGACAGGGTGGCTACCGTACGAACAGCTCGCGCTCGAGATTTCTGTATGTAAACCTCTAATGTGCCTTTTACAGCACGCGCGCAAGCCAACCGCGGGCCTTGAACGCACGCTCGTGTGTTCATACATAGTGTAGTACTACGTAGCATATTTTGTTTTATTGCACCGACCAATCGTGTCCAGAAGCTTCAACATTCCGTCAGTGTATATCTTGAACTTTGCCACCCGCCCCGAAATGAGCCGCTGCATATTCCAGCGCGGTGGCCACCCAGACAGGCGAATGCAGGACTTCAGTGGATTATTTGGGACACAAAAATCATCAGCACGAATTTGATAGCCCCCCTGTACGTATAATGTTTTCACTACTAGAAGAGCTACTAGAAGTATAAATTTAGAGCCCAGTGTCGACACAATAACTCCACGCGACGAAACCATTGGTTGCAATGTTCGTATGTATACGTGGCTGCAGTGCATCGCATCGTCGTGCAACTCTCCGCCAACTGAACTCTGACATCCCATCACCAGATGGTCTAGGGGACATGTACTGTCCGCAATACAATTGACAAGTACTGCATGCCCGGTACATGTACCACTCGCTCGACCATGGCGACATTGTTCAATCATGCACACCACTTTCCGAATAAACGTACCCGACTTATCATAGCTACCTTTATCCACGTACAAATGTCGTACGCGAGACTCGATTGCAAAGCCCCATCCTCGACGCAAGGGTAGCACAAACGCTGGTCGCGGACTAGGCCATCACGTCTGTCGGCATAATCATCCGGGCCTTCTTGCTCTCATCGTGTCCGTGACGTGATCGATCATCAAATCGATTACGACCCATTGTCATTGGCCACAGGAGGCTCCAATCACGCGCCGAACGGCTTTGGATTGGATCGAGCCCGCACGCGCATACCACCACTGCAGCTCCGCTCGTTGAGATTTCTCGCCGCTTCGTCCCACGCCGATGGCTTCAACTTGGTCACTGACGCTGACGCATCGCTTCTCCACCACCTGTATATTAAACCAACTAGAGGACATGTTGACCAAGCCCTAGCACCTTCACCAGACCCGTGAAAACGTTGTTGGTCCAATGCCTCGCAACGACAATTTCGAGCCCGACACTTCACTCATTCTTCAATTCGCCTTTTCCGGCACACAACGTCCTCGGCACGATGCTGTACTCGAATGCAGAAACCAACTCGTGGAAGTTCCTCAAGCTCATTTCGGTCAAGGAGAACGTGACGTACATCAACTTCATCGGCTTTGTGCTCGCGTCCGGCTTTGCCATTTGCATGTATGTCTTCCTCAACGCGTCCCAAGGCTTCGTGCTCGGCAGCATCCTCAACGTCTCGTCCAAGGACCTCGGCAACATCACGGGCAACCTCACGTTCTTTGACCAGTGCATCTCGCTCGTCATGGTGTATGTCTGGGGCGTCTTGAGCGACCGCGTCGGCCGCAACTTCATTTACGGCGCGGGCTTTGGCTTTATGGGTCTCGCGCTCATTTTGTACCCGTACGCGACTGGCGTCAGCACGGACCTCGTCTTCTACCGCTTTGTGTTTGCGCTCGGGACGGCCGCCACCTCGTGCATGCTCACGGCCGTGCTCGCCGACTACTCGGCGGAGGGCGGTCGCGGCAAGCTCAGCGGTCTCGTCGGTCTCATGTCGGGTCTTGGTGCGATCTTTGCTGTCTTTGTCTTTATGCCGATCCCCGCCAAGTTCCGCGGCTCGGTCGAAGGCATCAAGTACGCGTTCGGTCTCGTCGGCGGCATCTCGATCGGGTTTGGCGTCCTCGTTATCGGTATGCTCTGGCCTAAGAAGGTCGTGCTGGCCAACAGCGAGGCGCTTTTGTCGCCGGCCAACATTGAAGACGCCAAGAAGACCG